TGGAATTAAATCCCGCCTGGCTTAGTGTTTGAGTGCCATGGTGGGTCCGAGGTTGAGTGTGTAACACAGTTTCTGAGTGAGGCAGTGATCCCAAATGATGCGTGAGCAAAAATGTATTTTACAACTTTTAATATTATGTTCTACCCTATTAAAAGGAAATCACTTCATATTTTATAATTAATCTTTTACGTTATTTATGTATTTCTTACTTTATTTATTTGTTCGTTTCGGGACACGTTAATTACGAAGATCAGGTCTTTATATTCGTCAATGAGTCTTGCACTGTTAGAACACTGATTATTTGAATCCTCTTTGTCATCGCTCTCGTATTATGGGATTCTGGAAGACGTTTTTCCTGCATTTACAAAGTTACATGAGTTTTTCCTTTAGAAAACAAGTGCTAAAAACGATAATAATAAACAAGAAGTAGGAAGTATAACTTACCCTAAATATCACCTAAAACTATTGAATGAAAATTCTATCAAATTTCTATATCAGTTAAGATTGGCAAATAAATTAAGAGAACAACCTGAAGGGCCAACTGATATGTACGAAAAACAGAAAGCAGCAATACATGAAGCAGCGTTTGAAGCTCTGGGGGAAGAGACTATAGGAAAACCTAAGCAATATTGGTGGAATAATAAAGTAGAAGCTAAGAAAAAAAGCGAAAAGAAGATATTATGAAAACTAGCTTGCAACCCAAAATCTGCACAACAGGAAAGAATATTTGAGTTTAAATAGAGAGGTGAAAAAACTGGTAAAAAAATCAAAAGAATGGTGGAATAAAAAATGCTTAGGAGTGGAAGAGAACATAGGTGGAACACAAAGCAAAGGATCATGGAGGCTTATAAAATGTTTAAGAGAAGACAATAAAACACAGTCTAATTTACAATTTATAAAAATGGACAAATGGGTTAAATATTACTCCGATATGTTTGAACAGAACAGACACGAATTCAAGGAAGCTCTGAAAGAAACTAACAGACAATTGGATATTACACCTGCTTAAGGGGTAGAATATTTAAATGAGATAAAGAATTCCATCAAAAAGATGAAAAATGGTAAATCTCTTGTCCCTGGAGGTATTCCTGTAGAACTATTTAAAAATGCTCCAACCAATGTATTAGAAATACTACAAATAATTTTTAATAAGTGTTTGCGAGGAGAAAAGTTGCCTAGAGAATGGAAGCAAGCTTTTTAACACAAATTCACAAGAAAGGACCAAAATCGGAGTGCAAAAATTATAGAAGTATAAGTGTAACTTCACCTACAGTAAGACTATATGAGCTAATCATAAAACAGAGAATTGAAAGGGAGTTTAATACAGAAGATGAGCCAAATGGGTTTACAGCTGGCAGAAGTTGTATCGATAACATCTTTACAATAAAGCAGCTCCTAGAAAAGAGATTAACTAGAAATAGGGAAACTTACCTTGTATTTATCGATTTAGAAAAAGCTTACGATACGGTCCCATTAGGTAAACTCTTCCAAATTCTCGAAAAGGTTGGTATCAGCGACCAATATATAAATGCAGTAAAAGATTGGTATGAGAATCAAGAATAAAAATGGGCAATGAAGTTTGGCAGTCATTTGGACAAACAAAGGGTCTGAGACAAAGGTGTTGTTCATCATCCACTTTGTTTAAGATTTAACTGCAAGAAATTCAAAAAGGATGGAAAAATATGTGCCGAGGTATGGGAATATACATTGATAAAGATTGCCTTCATACATTATTTTTCGCTGATGATCAGGTGATTTTGTCCAATGATGAGTTTGACATGGAGTATATGATGCGAAAGCTTGCGGAAACATACAAAAAAGCAGGATTAAAGATCAATTTCCTCAAAACAAAATATATGGTAGTGGGAGAGAAGAAAATAAATAATATACCAATAAATGGAGATCAGATAGAAGCATGCCATGAATTTAAATATTTTGGTGAAATTATTAGCGAGGGGAGATTCCAGAAAAGATATTGCTTAAAAAATTACACAAGCACAGCAAGCTATTAAAATGTTAAACTCGCTGCTCTAGGGAAAAGAAATATCCAAGTCTACCAAGAAAAGACTTTTCGACTCTATCATACAAAGTATAACCTTGTACGGTGCAGAAACATGGGAACTAAGGAAAAGAGAAAGCGAGAAACTAATGTGTCTACAAATGGCTTTTTGAGAAGTGGAGATCTAAAATGGAACATATTAAAAACGAACAAATTCTTAAGCAAATGAAGGTTCAAAAATCAATAATAGATTAATTGGAATCACGACGGCTACAATGGTGCGGCCACGTGAAAAGGCTTGATTGTGGGAGATGGCTCAGACAGGTATGCGAGTGTTTTCTTTTAGACAGAAGAAAAAGGGGTAGACCCAGAGAGGAATGGCAGAATCCGACTTTTGAACACAATCCGACAGAATCCGAATGACTAGAACGATAGAGTGGTATGGAGATTGGGATGCGAGAAACGGCCACAAGAGCTGCAAAACACTCGCAAGAAGAAGAAGAAGAAGGAGAAGAAGACAATGTGCTGGTCATATGAAATTTCACTAGATTTCATACTGCAGTTTACAACGATTAAGTCTTGAGGCTTGACAGAATGATCAAACATGAGCTGAAACAATTTCCTCAGTAGCGCGGTATTTTTCCTCGACCTCTTTTATTCGCAGTAAATGCTACAAAAATAACTCAGGAGAATGTTATTCTAATGTTTTTCCCTGAACATTGTTTTCCGTATGTTCACTATAGCCGACGTGGAGAGTTCATTACAACCTAATCATCTAATGTTTATTCGTAATGAATATGGAGTTTGGTTCACCCCAAAAAAACGTCACTACATCGCATTTCATTTACCATATTCAGAGTTTAGTGTATGAGACAATATTAGCATTAAAATTAATACTTAGAATTTTTAAACTAAAATATACGATTAGGACATTCAAAATCTCAATTTGTATAGGTTTCTGGAGTTTAATCGACTGCATTCTAGACAGAGAATTGTGACTGAGTTGTTGACGGAGACTTATTTTCTGAAAGTCTTGTAGTTCACGTCCATTATGATATTGTTGTGTATGACGTGAATGTGTTTTAGGACCTGTAGAGAGTACATTCATTATTAAGTTGAATAATACACTATTATGAAAAATCTGACTGAATATTTCTTGGCCTCTTCTTGCCGTGTAAATATATCAAGAACTTGTAACAAGCTATTTTTCTTTCAATTGAGGGGGATAATCTTAAACACTATTTTTACACACCCAAGAAAGTAATATACTATATTTTAGAATAATAAAACGTATCATCGAAAAACTTTGTAAGACAATAAAGAAAGTGTCATAATGACTGAATAAGTAGTATAATGCCTGAACTGTTAGAGTAAGTCTTGTGTGATCCTGTAAAACTTCATTAAAATATCGTTAGTTCTTTAATGTTTACAATTCAACAATTTACTCAGAATTGTTATTCCGAAATGTCACATTCAACACATTATTCCAAAATGTCACATTCAACACATTACCGCAAACAAAGTCTGAAACAATTAATCATTCACGCTTTTGAAGAGAAATATATTTACAATAGACGTTTTTCCTTGTAAACATTATCGATGTTTTGCATGATAAAATGGTGACCACGGGTGACAAAATAGAAGTGAATGAATGATTCTAAAATACCGCCATTACAATCGCTAACGCCTGTCTTTCTTAATGTATTTGTTCGTAATTGACATATAACTACTAATACATAACCGAATTTCCTCCCAATGCTTCCCCTACAATGTCACTACGTATGCTTTCACATTATATTTCATCTCTGACAACGCTAACATTGTACCCAGGATTCGCTTAAAACGATCATGAAAAGTCATTTTGTGGTTGATGAGAATGTAGTGCATTTTAGTTTATTCAACCAAGGATCTGGTTTTGTACGCTCGTGAAGTTATTTGGTGAGAGAAATACTGGGTTAAAAAATGTTTATATTTTACTTGAACTGTTAACAGAGACATGAGTGATATAAAGTGTTTTACGAATAATTTCCTGGATAGTTATTTGTGACTATCTATGATATTGATATTTAAATATTTAAAATAATAAATACGTTTTAAATCATTACAATACCTCGGTATTACTTAGAGTTCATTATTTAGTAAGTAAAAAATCGATCCCTCTTACGTTAGAAATACCTTCGGTAGACATTTGACTAATTTTAGGAAAGATATAGAATAATTGTTATCAAAAATAGATATGAAACAAACAAAATCATAATAAGTCGTTCGTGAGGGCTTAAAATGGATTATTTTTAAGACTAGAAGCACGAAAGCATTGGAATTTTACAAGTCATTTTATTCATGATATCATTCATCATACTTTAATTAAAACACACGGTATCGAATTTTAAGTTTGCTTATTGATTACTTTTTCTTGATATGTTTCAATTGAACACTAAAATAAACCTGTCATTAAACCTGGACGTTTACGTTACTCGTGAACGATATACTGCGTGTAAAAGACTGCTGCTCTTCTAATAGGGTTTAAGTTACTGCCCTTATTCTTAGTAGTTTAATCAAGTTCTTCAGGCAGGTTTTTCTTTTCATTGTAATATTCATGTCTGAACGTATTTGTATAATAAATGAAACACAAAAGAGATTATATAACATAAAAGAGAAACATAAGAGTTGATATCTTATTTAAATTACATTTCGTTTTTACGTTATATTCTTAGTTTTTCAGCAAATGTTTCTTCATAATTATAATTTATAAATTTACAAGCAATTCAAGTGATTATTTCCAGAATAAATTCTTCTTATATTATTTACATTACTTTAATTAACACGAAAACTGATCATTAAACGAACTATGTAAAACAAATATTTAACACATACACATACAAAATATTCAACACAATAACTACCACTCCACACCAGTCTACACGAGATGCGTAAACGCACATGCTCTAATCTACAGAGAAAGTAAGTAAGCAGAGGTGCGCGAGTTACCTTGTGAGTTTACCTTTGTAATAGATAAAGCTTTTCTGCACGGCGTAGTCTGTCTCGGGGATCTTGAGCTGGCAGCCGACGAGGGCGGGGCCCGGGTCGACGGCGGCGGCGGCGGCCGCGGCGGCGTCGGGGCGGTGGCCCCCTGCGGCGGCGGCCGGCCCTGACGGGGCGGCGGCGCGGCGGGGCGTGGTACTCACGCGGGCGGGTGCTCCGCCTCCAACCGCCCATCCCCTACTCCCCCCCCTGCCTCTTCCCCTATAAACAAGAAAAAAACAAATAAAAACTAACCATACAAAAAACCAAAAACTCAAACCAATAAAAAAATCAACAATACTGATCAACAGCGGGGGGAGCAGAGCGGAGGCGGACACGTCAAAGGCTCCTTCGCGGGGCGTGGACACCACCGCCACGCCGGGCAGCCTGCGGCAGAGGAGAAGCAGGCGGTGTTCACACGTCTTAACCCAATAGCAGGCATGGTATAAAAGGATCCCATGCTCTACCAACAACGGGGAATGCTTCGAGAGCCCCACATGAGGGAGGCGGCTTCCGCGGACGCAGACACTAAGTACTTGGCTGCGACTTAGGTACAGGAGCCAACGTTTCGGCCCCCATTCTGCGGCCTTCCTCCGGCTAAAAAGGAAACTGTAAAGTTACAGATATTAACATTTAACTTCCAATAACACCAGTATGAAATTCAATAACCGTTTATTTCGAAATGACGTAGTATGTGGAAATATGTCTTTTAACTGAAATGTATTCTCTAATATAAGAATTGAAGTTGAATAAATTGTACAGATGATAGATGGGAGATGTTTTGTTGAGATTTTACAATTAAGAAAGAATAATATGGTCCTTCCAATGCGGCAGTTTATCAGTACTTCTTATGATTACTTAAGATAGTTAAAATGTGTCAATATAGGTGAAGAGTTAATTTATTAACTTGTTTTGTTTACACTCGGTTTTTAAATGTTTAATTTTGTTTCTATTTTGTTAAGTACACACAAATTATTCAGTAATTTTAATTCTCGGGATATCTGTTGCTTACAATGCAAAATCTATAATATATGTTCAATGAAATGCGAGATATTCTTATTCATAGGCCATTCGTAATATATATTTTTCTGGTTTTCTTTGAAAATTAAAATATTCTCTTGATTCTTCCCCTATAATTTTGCCCTCTATTTGCAGAAAATGTCCATCCTTTCTTTCTGCCCATAGTTTGTTTTTAAATTTAATATTATATTAAAATATGTGGCTGTATGTTCTAAAAATGCAATTACAAAAACTTTTAATGATTTCTAACCTATGACTATTAATAATTTCTCTCAATATTTTTTTCAAATATTTAATATTTTTCTTTTTACAGTACAATCAAACACCATTTACTCTCCTTTTTTGTAGGCACTCTGAATACTGTATCAAATTCTATCTTTTAATTGCTTGCTTTCTTCATTAGCATACCAATACATTTTCACTTTCTTTAACCTTTAACCTTACTACTTTACTTTAAATTTATTCTGTTATTCATTAACATTTTCGATGACAAGTATAAAAATATTTTTTTAGAAAAGAGAAAGTGTCTTTAATTGATACTGTGGATTAATTTTTTGCTTGAACAAACTTCATTTCAATGTTTTAATTAATTTTAATTAAATGTTTACATAATGTGTTATTTTAAGTACACAACCCTGGTGAGTTTCCATTCATATTGGTAAATTTTGGCATTTCTCACACCTCTGTTTCCCATTCCCAAATATGCCATTATGCTTTCCATTGAGCTTTCCTTCTTTACATCATTGGTAGGGAATAAAGTTAACGTCACTAGAGAACAATTCATTACACTTTTCTCAGATAATCCCCAAATTCAACAGTAGGACAAATTTCTTGCAGTAATCTTTAAGATATCTATGCAGTCATTTTACAGTAATAGAAAACATTTTTCTCTCTATTAAGTAACTATATAAGTAAATTACACTTTACTAGATGATTGATCAACATTTTATTGCAATCTCTTCGCCCAAACAATGTTTTAGGTATAGAAATCAAAAGTTCATAAGTGTACGAGATACAATAGCTTACCTGTATCTACTGTTATTTTATCACACAACACTAATATCTAACGAATCTGCACCACTGTGATCTGCGTGTCTTCACAACTTTCTTCACTAGCGGGCGGTAGGCGGTAGTATGACCGGGAGCTAGCACCATCTGTCTGCGCGATTTTGCAATCATAGCTCCTATCGAGACTAGTTTTCAGGCGACTACCGTTTGTTCAGTCGGAGCTTCACAGTCCTGTGGTAAGCGGCCCGTACAATGTTTTCTAGCCTCCGCCATCTGTCTGCAAGTTTCTGCAATTATATTTCTCCTATCGAGACTTTTCAGTCGACTATCGCGTATGCAGCCCGGCCCTCAATGTCCTTTGGTAAGGGGGGTGATAGAAAGTAGAAGCTACCGCCCTCTACATGCACTTTCTACAATCATATTTCCCCAATCGAGATTTTTTTCAGTCTACTATCGTTTCTGCATCCCGCCACTCGGAGCTCCACTGTGCCTTGGGGTAACCGGACGGTAGAACGCCTATGACCTACCGCCCTCCGCTTGCATGTTTCTGTAATCATAGCTCTCCTATCGAGACGTTTGAGTGGCCCGTCCCCTTGGGGCTCTGCTGTGTCTCTTGATAGACGGGAGGTGTAAGAGCTGAGTTATAAATACACGTATCAATAAACATGTTTGATAATATTTGAATTCTAGAAAATTTTCGGCAAATGGCTTTGTTCTCGTATGCATAGTATTGTGACGTTCTCGTATGCATTTCACGTGACTGCAGCGAAGTATTTCTTCTCAGACCATTCTGTATGCTGTCTCATATCACAGCCATACACAAAAAATTGTGTTCGTTTCTGGAGATCAGGCCATGTTTTATATATGTTTTTGAGGTCACTAAATACGAATCCGGAGTCCATTTCGCTCCATTACGTCAGGCTTTTTACATAACCTCAAAACAATTTTTTGTTTCCTTTTCTACAGCAGTTTCAACTTAAACGTCGCCCAGAGGAACTTAACTGACTGTATTACACTTTTGCAACTTGAAATAAAGTCACACAAAATATTCTTATTGATCTACTGGAACTTGAACCCATACCGAGATGTGTAAGGCAAGCTGGACAGGACTCCCTATCTCAGTTCTGCGATTGATTGATACGCGTTTCCGAGCGTGACAACTGCTACAGTAATTGGTACCGTAAGTGTAGTGAATATTATATCGTAGGAGGAATGTTATGTCGCAGTTATATCACAAACATGTTGGCTAGTGCGTTTTCCTCCTCTAGGAGTCTTCACCAATTGGGCACCGTCTCAGCCACAACTTCACTTAACTAATTTACTTCACTTAACAAAATAGAAACAAAATTAAAAATATAAACCCCGACTGTAAACAAAACAAGTAAATAAATTAATATTCGGGACATCCGTAACAACTCTCTATCGCGGGAGGAGGCGGTGTTCCTACTTCGCTGACTGGTGAGATCTGGTGCTGACCTGCATGTCGGCTTACAGGAAATTTCCACTTCCAAGTATCACCCTCAACGGGGCACCACCTCAGCCGGTACTAACTCTAAGCTCGGAACTGGTCTCCTCACAGGTGTGGAGCATGTATGTGCGCGTTGATCTAAGATAACAAAAAAGGATCAAGAATGAGGAAGGAATGATCGCGCGCGGTTCGTGTCTCTTTTGTTAAGAGTCCTCCGGCATTCACTTGGTATTTATTAGAGAAACCACGTAAAATCAAATAAGAGCAGCCGGCTCCTACAGTTCGCCCCCAGACTTCTATCTGAGAGTAGCACTGCCATCTACGTTAGTGCCGAACATCCGCCAGCTTCGAACCCAGAACGCTCGAGTCGCTGCCCAGAGCCAATCCAGCCCCTCGCGCCCTGTCTGAGCGCCGCGAAACTCAGGTGGGAATCGTTGCCCCACATTAAACGGCAACGTCCGTCGCCGTGCTGAACGCAGCCTGTTTCCATCCGCGCCTGAAAGCCCCTCGTCGATGTCCGAGTGCACGTGCGTGTGTGAGGCGGGTGGGTGGAGGACGGGGGAACTGTTGAATTGCAGGTAGCGTAGTGCTCTCTGTCACGAAAACCACTCCGCTCCGGAAACATAATATCTCGACTTTTTTAAGTGCAGAAAATTGCGCTTTTTAATTGAAAAAAGTTTGTACACACTACGAATCGTGTTGGAGCGATGTTTCCGGTCCCAGTGGAGTTGCCAAGTGTTTGTGAAATACACCGAAATTGTGTGCAGGCAGTCTGTTACGTGTGATTAAAGTTATGTATGATGTTTAAGAATACTGCGGATCAATGAATTACAACCAAAGACGTTATTGCTGTATCTGTACCTCAAAGAGAGAACGTGTCAACCCCATGAGCTAAAACTTAGAAACCGGCTAAATTTAGAATCATTACAAGCAAGTTATATTTACTACAAGTTATATACTACAAACATTACCACTAATATAATAATATTATGATAAACTTACAAAACCCTTAGCTTTTCTTCAGGGATTATAGAGTATATATTATATATGAATTAATATTGCTAACTTCAAGGGCATATAGGGACTTCGAAAATGATCTCTTTTGTCATTAAACATGTAATGAGAAATTTCACATAGTAAACATATACATATTTATGCATGTGTAATTTGCCCCTGATTTTAGGTCATCTCGTTTGCACAGGTTCGTTTGAACGGATTCTAAGGCACGCAATGAGATTTCATGCATCTGCCGGACATTCGTATATATGAGGGCTACCAAAAAATTATGAACTGCCACATGTCTAAATTCATTTAACTCCGCTAGAGATGCCTACCAATCAGGAGCAAACGTCACATGTGTAATTCAGTTATGTTATATTTCCTGCCACATCCTCATTGGCAAAGAGTGATCATTTTCAAGCCCTTTCCACGCCCCAGGAGTTTGTAGCATTTATTCTTAGACATTCTCTATACTAATATCGGGTCAATGACCTCCATCTCCTTCAGTTTTTTGTCCATTTTCCTCTGATCCATTTAACAAATGCTGAGATTACTCTTTGTTTTGCTTCTGGACATAAATGTAGTTTCACTATGACCACACTTTGCAGAGCTCTTGTTTTGCTAGTAATGATAGGAATAGAGTTGGGATAAGGGTTAATATTTTTTTAGAAATTCAAAAAAATAAAATATGCACGTTGAGTACCAATGTAAAAAATTTGTATATATCTCGAGAGCGAAAATATCTAGTTTTTTGCATGTTTCTCATCTCGCTTTCTTAAAACTATTTTTCTTCATTAAACTTTTCACAATTAAAATGTTAAGAAGAGGTTCTGCAGCTTAAGAAAAAGGGCGGAGTTGGTACCTCTCCCACATACATCGCATTGTTTTTACTGCACGTTGCCTAAATACATCAAATCAAATATTCTTCGCAATGTTAAGTACTTGTTAAGCTATGTAACATTAGTACATGAAAGCATTCCTCCCTCTAGATCACCCAACACCTGCATTTACCGATCGCTTGAATCCGCTGAACCGCACCTCTCTTCACCCCTTCTCACCCCTATTGCGCGGCACGTGGGAGCTGGAGCACGTGCACGTGGCGAATGCCCTGCGCGCCGGGAGCGCCTGGCGCACTGGTCCAGGCATCCCCAGCATTTTCTCCCCCGCCCCTCCCTCTTCGCCTCACCGCCCAGTAGACCCACGGTAACCATCGCGGGAGTCGCCTTTGCAGACCTAATGTCGCGCTAGAAATCTCACCTGGGTTCTCACATACTTTCACATAATCATGTCTCGTTTGCACTGCTTTGTATGTTTCCTTTTACATCTGGAGTATTTGAAAAGTTGGAGACAAAATAGCTGAATCCCTGTGATTACACCGTCGAAAAAGATGACCTATAGAAACAATTCAATGGAAAGTTCTACTTGTACAATATGCAGAAAAAACGAAAACACTATAAATTTTGTTCCAATTCGTTCGGCATTTATTTTCCAAAATCAAAGAAATAAGAGACGTTTTTAAATTCTGGAAGAATGCAATCACTATTCATTGCGGACAAAGAGTTCAGTAATTTTTGAAAATAAGAATGAAATGTTTTGTATTTACCAACACCGTTAAGTTACGATATGATAGACTACAGTACAATATACTTCCGCCATAAATTAAAACGTAAAACGTCACAAACAATGACGTCACTGAGAATTTTTCGTAAAGAAACACAAGTTAGACGATTGCTAACCATTGTTCTTAAAACAGTCACTAATCACTGCATTTCAAAACTAGAAACTTAAAAACTCACAGTATTCGCTTCACCAACTACGACCACGTAATGCAAACATCAAGAACAATTGTTTTGCAGTTTGTCTTGAAAATAATGTAATTAAAAAACGATGGTATATGCGTTCATTCTATTAATGTTTTTAATATTAGTCAAATACAGTGTTTTTACTTTAAAGACAGTTAACAAGAGCAAGTAGTAGCGAAAATAACTAAATTAGTTCGAGTAAATATCTCGCACTTCTTTCTAAACGAAAACGCTTGGGGTTTAAAATGTAGATATCACGTGTTCGTTAGGGTTCGTGTGACATTCGGTCTTCGATGATGCTGTGCTCATCAGGTGAATGGATCGAGCAGGACCGACGTCACAGCACGATAGGTGGCGCAAGAGGAGTAGGAGCAGTACTCACTCGGCCTGGTCGACGTAGAGGGCGATCTTGGGCTCCGGGTAGACGCCGCGGCCGCGGCAGGTGACGTTGACACCTTCACCCAGCGGCGATCCCCACACCTCCAGGTCCTGGCCCGGCGCTGCAACACAAACACAGGCACGAGCGGTGAGCGAACATTGTTAATTGAATTGCGTTTCACGTTGTATTATTGACAGTCATTGAAAATTATATTCGTATACTATTTTTTTTAAATAATCCGGTATAATAGTTTGACCTGGTTTATTTTTCGACGTTTCGAGACTCAAGGGCTGCTCTCATTTTCCAGGAGCTTTCAGCTAAGCATATATTCACCTATACATTCAATTTTCTGTCGGAGCCACAAACAAGTACAGCTAGTATATTGTTCACGAAGAGCTTACAGCAAATGGACAAATGAAATACGAGTATATTGCGTTGTATAATTGGTGGTGATTCAAAATATTGAAGTAGATGTTAATGGAGTTGGAATAAGTTAAGTTAGTGTGAGTGAAAGGACGGTTTATAGAGCAAATGGTAAAGAACGATAAACATTTTTTTTAGAAATTTAGAATTTTCGCCTTAAAAATTTGAAACATATGCATTTAAGTTAAAATTTTCTTGAGTTCTGCTAATGCTAAATTTCCAGATAATACACATATATTTGATAAAAAAATGCATGTTTTTTCTTTACAGTTACATACGATTACTACTTAATGGAGTCGATATCTATATCTTTCAAAATAACAGTCTGTCTCGAATACCCTGACTGAAGACAGCAGACATATCTCCTTCGTCAACTCTTCCACCCTTCTTGCCATACAAAACATTGGTTCCCATATTCCAGTTTCTAGGAATTTATGAGTTTATAATGTAAATGTATTTCATGTAAAATAAATCATAAATAAACACGTTTGTAGCGTTTTAATTTCAATCATTTCTTCACTGTTTCGTTTTTGAAAATTTTCATTTATTAAAATCATCGATTTTTTCAAGCTCTCATTGAGTAATACACTCTCTTCATGACAATGATTTATCGGACACACCACTCACCGATTCATAGTCACTCGCTCGTACACCAAGACCTGTGTAAGGACATGTGTCTCATCCAAATAAATAAGCTTCATTTTTCGTATCTTTCTTGCTCATAAATGCCCATTCTCATGAACCTAATATATTATTATTGGAATCATAAACATTATTCAGAAATACATCGGAATCATGACAGTGGACATTCAATTAGAATCAGAATAGCAAATCCACTACAATACTTAAGATTTCCATTAGCTTTCTAGAACGTTTTGAAAGAGCTTTGATATAACAAAACAAAATGGTGTGACGACGCGCGTATTGAGATGTTTCAACCTTGAAACAGTAAATTCAAATGGAGGTTCCTGGAATATCATAAGAACGTTGTCAGCACATGAAAGCATTACAATATTTCCACAACCCAGGAAAGCGTTAATAAAAAGCTGAATTTATCACCTGCCTGTTGCCTATTTCTATTCGTGTTCATGATTTCCGTGAGGAGGAAGAGGCAAGTAGCTTTGCTTGTGAGCTGCTCAAGCCGCTTGCAGAGCTATAACCCTGAATGCACAGAACATTTATCACGGGGTACAGACTTTCAACAACGTACTCGAATTATGTAAGTGGTGACGGGTGACAAAACTGCTCGCCACAGAAATAACGTTTCTTCTACATTCCACATCCCATTTCCACATTCCACACTTGATTTAAAAGAGACGCTATCATTTTGAGGAAACTTTGGGGTCTTCTAATTTGCTAAAGCCACCGCTGGCTTGCTGATTGATACTGCCTTGTACGAGTGGATTGACGAAATGTGCACGGGACAAACAACCATGCTCAAGGCGGGACAGGATCCCGCAATCCTTCAGACCAAGCGCTGAGTCGGGACATGTTCTTATCCATCCAAGTCAGCTAGATTGTGAATCATTCCAACCCAAATATTTTATTCGAAAAAATTGCTTTAAATTTTAATTATAAACTACTAATAATTGATGAAAATCGGGGATACAATAGCAAAATAGAAATACTACAAGAAGTTTTCAGATAAAATATTTGCTAAGAAGAAAAGCAACAACTATGAATAGAATTGTTTTGCAACACAGCAAAGCATGGTGGGATTCAAAGAGTTCCCAGACTCCATTCGAAGAATTTATGATACGAGACCTCCAAGGATTCCAGGAATGCAAATGTACACCTTCGCTTTGTTCCGATAGATGTCCGCTTCCCAAAACGTCGACGAGCCCACAAATTTACTGTCTTCCCGGCATCATAGAACCCGCTCGAAAAAAAATCCCCCAGCCGGCGCCGGCCTCCGCGGCCCGCACATCAATCTCACTCCATCGCCGGCCCAGTCGCACACATCACCGGTTACGAGAATCGATATTTCTGAAGCATCGATGCATCACCGGCGTGCTGGCAGCCCCGCGGCCGCCAGTGCGGCATCACACAATTGATACGATTGCGCCGTCGCCCGCATTTATCCGACAACGACGATAATAAAACCAATTACCATCAACGGCACTCTCTGGCGTCGACAAATTAAACTACACGCCTGCCCCCGCACCGTTCCCCTCCCTCTGCCCCCCCCCCCTGCGCGCGGCTACACGGCCGCGCGAAGCTTCAATGGCGGGCGAGAGCTATTTTTTCAAATTATTGGCTCCCAAATTGGGATCTATTACACGGCGTACGCGTGGGCCGCTTATTTTTCGAGCGAGTTCGTCAGCGGCCGCTGATGCAAAATCTTTCCCTTGCACGTCCTCGACGGTAGCTAGCCGTCTCTTGTAGCTGGGTACGGCGTTGGAGCAACTGTTGAGGGAGGTTATGTTTGTACCAGATGACTCATGAGATGTTCTATTGAAGATTTATCTCGGTTTTTAAAGTTTAAAAATCCAGTTTTCTAATTCATGAGAATTAAAATTCTCAACCACCACTTAAATTCTCGTGAAACTGCATTAGTGCATGAAATCAAATGTTTCATTATTGGCAGTAAAATTAGAATTAACTATTGAGATTGTAACTAGTTACAGAGCTGTACACAACTAGTATAACGACAGTTGAGGCTATGTTTGTAGATGAAGTACAATGTAGATGAATAAATGTTTAAAACTCGATGTTTTATTTATGAGAATTTAAGTTATTTTGCTCCAACTATATAATTATATAAACAGATTTCATTAATGACAGGCAAATTGGGATATATGAGTATTAGATATTAAGAGGGTAGTCACCTCTCCGGGTTTCAAAGGTAATCTCCGCTTTCCGAGTTGATGTGGAAAATCTCAGGATAAGATGAACAATTAAATTCGTTGTGAAAAATATACGGAATTGTTAGGCATAAGTATGTGATGTGATTGCGATACTTGTCTTCGTCTCAGAGGTAATCCAAAATTTAGTGTGGAAAAATAGAACCCGTATTTAAATTCATAAACAAATAATAATTTTATTTTTTACAACAAATAATAATTTCCAATGTACAAAATTTCAAATTTAATAATAAACTGCGGGGAAAATCGTCACATCTCGAAAGGCGCCACGATGCGACATAATGCAATTCGAGCGCATGAGTCTTACGAGTTTTTTTTCTTTATAGGATTCCTGTACAATCACTATTATATTTACATTTCGTGCCAGGAATGTGCCACCAATAAAAATAGAAGCGCATGTGTTGGTATATTGATTCTACACTCTAGAATCACACTAATTATGACGTAATTTATGTGACCCTCCCCACCCTCGATTCGAAATCTCCGGGTCATGGTCTTTCAGAGTTGGCAACCCTAGTTACTACAGAGCTGGAAGCAGCTGGTATATGAAAACATAAATAAGGTTGTTCGAAGTGGAAGAGACAGGCACTTTTCAATTGAAGAAATATGTAAATATTTTAGGTTAAAAAATCGATATTATAACAGAAGAGAATTTCAGTTGTTTACTTGAAATTGAAATTCCACGGGCTATTCCATTACAAAAAGTGTAATATATTATTGATTTTACTGATTGTTCAAGGAAAAGTATTATTTCCATAATAAACATATTCCTATATGCAATAATTGACTCTCGTATTCATATCGATTAGAAATCAAAAGTGTGGACCGCTCCTCTTGCGAACTTGTCGATTGTGACTGGAACCAGATTTTTGCTCTGCAGATGTGTCTATCAGTGGTGGTTTTGTTTGGAGAAGAAAGTTTCTCAGTCTAACTCAACAAAGGAGTCTCCATACTGTCAAAGGAGTCTCCATACTGTCAAATAGTCTTTGAATCTAATGTTTAAGAGTGATTTCATGGTGTGTTAATTATTGTACCATTGCACCTGCTTACACATTGCATTATATTTATTACCTATTGAGATCTATTCCAAGGTGTGTACCTACGCGTTTTATTTTATTTTCGTATGGAAGTCGTCCCGATATTACTACTGCTGCTACTGTATTGCTCGCGCAAGTTATTTTGAAACACAATCTCCCTAGTCCTTGCCTAGCCCTGAATCCCACGGCCCGTAGAGATACTTAGGACAGACTCGGAACGGCACGTACCAATGTACAATGCTTGCCAACATCCACCTTCTACCATCAAAAAAATCGCATTCCTTGCGCAACGCTCTGGCGCCGTACGTTCACATTTCAGTTCACAATAGTTGATACGCCCCTTTAAGCTGTGACGTAAGCAAAGCCCTCCTCTCCGTACACCCTCTACTGTGGAGTATCAAGAAAACTTCTGCGCATAGTACTACCCAGGAGATAATTCAGCGGTGTGGGTTCTGGCTACTACGTAAGAGCTCTAAATGCGAAAAGGCGTAACACTCCATGTTGAGGCAGCGAAATACTCGAAGAAAAAGTTGGGAGAGCAATTAGTACAAGCTGCAACGAAACATCGTTTCTTCTATCAGTAGTTTTTTGTCAGACAAGAGTGTTCTGGAAAAGAGACGTCACACAGTTGACAAAGATTGTTACTTGAAGAAAGAATTAACGAGTATTGAAGAAATTGTCACAGTTACCTCTATCCAAACTAAATTAAACCTTTTTTTACGAATTTCGTCGTTTTTTACTTCATGTTACAACTGCATCCACTGCCTGGCACACCCT